TGAGAACCCCCCTTAAATCCCCTTAAATCCCCTTAACTCCTCCGCCCAGTCTTTGAACTTTATCTGCAGCCCATCCCCAAGTGCTGACGGTAGCTTCAGCTTGAATTGACCTTCGTATATGCCATGCTCTGACTTGGCGCAGGCTGTACCCTCGGAAAACAATAGATAAGAGAGAGGTCTCGTTTCTTTTTGCGAGCGTCGCGTGTTGGAGGAACAGCTCCACGCAGCAGAGATTGTAAACGCTGCTGGTTCGAGGGAGAGGGAGAGGGGTAGGGGGGAAGGAAAGTGGGCCTTCGTGTGAAGATCATTGCGTAAACGAGTTTTTTTTTTTTTTTTTTTTTTTTTTTTTTTTAGAATCTCTCTCTCTCTCTCTCTCTCTCTCTCTCTCTCTCTCTCTCTCTCTCTCTCTCTCTCTCTCTCTCTCTCTCTCTCTCTCTCTCTCTCTCTCTCTCTCTCTTCTCTCTCTCTCTCTATTTCTCTCTTCTCTTTCTCTCTGTCCTTTGGAAATCAACTTTTGAAACCAAAAAATAAACTTGATTCTTTTCATACTGCAGAATTGCATTTTTAGGCTCTACTTTGTGTTTAGATTCTGCTGATATATCGAAATTTATGTTGTTTCTTATCCTCGTTTTACAAAATCTGTCGCAAAGGTATCAGAGAAACGGGACAAAATAAACGCCAGAGTGATAACGTTTTCGTGAAAATTAAAAAGGGAAGAGAATGCAGGCATCCGTCCCTTCTTGAGATGGTTGACCTGCAAAAGAAAAAAACAGGCATGATCTTCCACCGCCTTCCGAAGTGAAGACTTTAGGAAGCCGTTTTTGTGAGTGAAAAAAGTGCCTTAAGAACAGTCGTTTGTGCCAGCATTTAGCTGATACTTAGGGAACGTAGCGGAAGCAGCGTCATTTCTTCTATTTCGGTGACGAAATCAAAAGAAAGGAGCATCTAGATTTCTCGGGATGAGCAAGCTGTGGCCCTGACAGGCGTGGATGAAGATCGGGGCCAAGTTGAAGGCTTTGTTGTTGGCTCACAGCAGCCTAGGGCACAGCAGCAATCGGCACCGACACCGCACCACCCCCGTCAGCACCGTCAGCACCACTACCACTACAACGACTGTCACCTCCGTCTCGCACACCGCAATGCCCCGTGATCGTCCCCCGCAGGCCAGTAAGTCCATGCTGGACTTGTCTGGCCGCAAGACGTCCGACGCCAGCGAGCCCCGCCTGCGGCCCGCCATCTCCGTTCTGGACGTGAGCGGCAAGCCGGAGCTCCGTCGCCGCCCCCACTCGGAGGGCAGCTACGGCCCGATGTCCTCTCGCCAGGACCGACCTGCGTCCCTGTCCTCGGCCAGCGTGGGGCTCAGGCATTCCCGGCCGAAGCGATACTCTAGCATCTCATGGGCGGAGGAAGTCCTGGAACACCCGGACGAGGCGATGCAGGAGGAGGAGGAAGCCCACGTCTCGCTGCGGCACTCCAGCAGTTCCACGACGTCGCCGCCCGCCACGCCTGCGGCTACTTCGTCCTCGAGCGCGGGGAGGGCGGCTCCCGAGATGTTCCTAAACGGCTTCAGTGTCGCTCAGAGTCAGTCCATGATGACGCTGCCGAGGCCCGTCACCACGAGCAACACCTCGGACGATGAGCCACGGGGATTTCGCAAAAAATCCTCCAGTGCCTTGTGAGTTCCCTTTCATACGTATGATTAAGTAATCTAATTCTTTAGGATTATGATGAGGGGGAGGCTTTTTAAAATAAGTTTTGGTCAAATGGATGAATAAGGTTAGGTAATATTTCTTCTCTTTATCGTACCATAGCAATAGTTTGGCTATCTCGTTGGGAATAGCGCAGAAGACGCTCTGCCTTTTTTCTGTTCAACGTCATAGCGTAGCAGCATTATCCCGGCAGTGGGTTGGGGCGCTTTGAACTTTGAAAGTCATTGTTAATTCACCGTATCCTGCGAATGTTCAGATTGACGTTGTTGCGTGATTGCACACAAGGTCAGCCATTCCACCGGCATAACCTTGTAGCTTGACCTTGTTCCGTCCATCGTTTTGTTGATGTCAAGCTTTAATTAGGACGACCATTAGATTTTCCGAGCAAAATGAGGTCAAAGAGCACCGCAAACCCCGCTTTGCCATCTGGCTGGTAATATCGTCAGCGGCTCAGATACTCTCCTTTTTACACTTTGTCGGTTCTCTATACGATTGATTTTTTTCTTATCAAAGAGCTGAAAAAAATGTTGCATTCAATTCCTCTAAAATACTGGAGGATATATCCCTTTCTAGATTTTGTTAAATATTTTTACCACCTACCTCTCTTGTCTCTTCTCTCTCTCTCTCTCTCTCTTCGTCTCTACATTCTCTTCATATTATATATATATAATAGATATATATATATACTATGATAGATATATATTACTAATATATGATATATAATTTATATATTTATAATGTATATATTTATATATATGTATCAAGATTATATATATTATATTATTAGATAATTATTATATTATCATTATACTTCTACTCTCTCTCTCCTTCTGTCTCTCTCTCTCTCTCTCTCCTTCTCGTCATCTTCTCTCCTCTCTGTCGTCATTCTGGTCACTCTCTTCTACTCTCGTCTCTCTTCCATGCATCCTTCTCTCTCCTCTCTCTCTCTCTCTAACTTGTTTCGTTTTCCTCTTGTAATTTCTCCCTTTCTGTCTCTTACTTTTCACATTCATGTTTCTTCTTACCTTTTTTCCTCTCTGCGTAGTTTCATTTTCATTCTCCTCTCATCAAAGTCTCTTTCCTCACTCATCATCAGTTCTCGTCGAATCACTCCGATCAAACTCTCTTCGTCTTTCACTCCATAGTGCGATCTTCTCATGTCGTTCTTCTTTCTCGATTCCACGTCTTGCATATCTCAACCTTCCCATCTCTCATCTCTCTCTCTCACTTTCGTTTCTCTTTATTTCCGCTTTTCGCTCGTTCTTTTCAATTCACTTGTCTTTCTTACTCTTTATTCTCCTCAGGACCTCTCAGGATTATCATTTTTTTCATTCTCCTCCTGCTTCGTCTCTCTCAGCTCTCCGTCCTCTCTCCTGCTTCTCTATCATTCGTTTCTCATCCACCCGCACTCTCACCTCACTCACCGCGTCCTCTGCTCATCTCTCTCGATCTTCCTATCCTCTCTCCGTCTCATCTTTCCCTCGTCTCTCTCCTCTTCTCCTCGTCCCATCTGATTTCTCTTCTCCTCTCTCTCTTTCCTCTCCTTCTCGTTCTCGCTCTCCCCATCGCCGTGTTCTCATAGCATCTCAGTCGTCTCTCTCTCTTTCAACATGGATTAGATTGAAGACTAAGGCGTTCAAAAAAAGGCGGAAAGTTTATAATATTTCAAGATCAGTTATTGGTTTATGTGTGTGTGCGCTTATTCGTGAAAAGTGTGTGGGGTGGTGTGGGTTGATTGGGTGAATGGTTGTGTCCGTGTGCGTATGATGTATTCATTCAAATGATACTGTATGTGTGATTACTCTCTGTATTTACATATTGATTGTTGCATCCGTTTCATTCCTACACACCTGCATTTCTGTGCGACCAAAGACTTTCGAGAATTCACGCCAAACCTTGAACTTAGGATGGCAGTCCACAGTACAGTTAATGATTCATGAGTGTTCATGGTGTTCCATATTTTACTTGTCCAGGATTCCATATATGACAGTGTGTCTTTGTGTATTTAATTAAGCCCAGTGAAAATAAATGCTTCCTTGATAGTCAAAACAGACCTGCATGTAAAGGAGCATGAATTTTTCTTTTGCCACGGCATGCTCTTGCCTTTGCCTCTGCTTGCTTGCTCTCTAATACTTGACCTGCTCCCAAGGCGGCGACTTTAGCCTGAGGATAATTACTATTAAACTAGCTAACATTAACTGACAGGTTGTAAGGGGCGATTCTTGCTAGCTTTTAGCGGGTCGATCACTTGAGGGAGAGTGTCACTTTAGTGCCTGTGTACGCCCCTTTATGTCTTTTTAAGGTTTTATTGCGTATTTTGTGAAGTCCTTCCCAAGGGTTTTATATGCGTATTTTTTCGTGTCGTTCAGTCCAGTCTGTGTTCTCAACGCAGGTATTATCACCGTGCGCCGCCTATGTGTTTGTGCCGTTTACGAATTCATGATGTGCTGTCCTTTTCAGGTGTTCGCCTGTGGCACGTTTGTTCTTTTGCTCTTGTTCCCCTTTCGTCCGTTCGCCGTGCGCTTGTGCCAACGGGTTTCTGCTCATTTTGCGATGTGTTGGGGATGGGGAAGGGTTCGATGTGGCCTACGTGGCCCTAGCGATGTTGTTTTGCTCGAGTCTATTTAGCTGTGACATTTCGCTGTGAAGCTCGTTTTGTTGTGATTAGTCCGGATTATCTTGTGATATAGTCTATTTCTTTTGGAACCCTTCGAGCCCAGCACTTGGCGATTTTCTTCCAGCCTGAAGTCTCTTGCGTGACACTTAAAGCACGAACGTTGTGGAAGGTCACGGGCCCCTGGCATTAAAAAAAGTTCCTTTACATTTATATGGTGGTCAGTCAAGATTTTGTTATTCGCATCCGGCTTTTTGAAATGGGTAATCTATTAGTTTTTATTATATAAATTTGAATAATAGATGTTATTAGGCAGTAACGAAATGGAAATTGTACGAGATTAGATACAGCAATCAACTGAATATAGGTAGTCGGAAGCTAAAACAGAAAAAAGAAAACCCGATAGAGCTGTATATATATATATATATTAATATATATATATATTATATATATATATGTGTGTGTGTTGTGTGTGTGTGTGTGTGTGTGTGTGTGTGTGTGTGTGTGTGTGGTACGTATATTATTAATATACATATACATTATATATACAAATATATGTATATATTATATATATATATATATATATTATATAACACGCAGATAGTAGATAGATAAATAGATATGTGATAGATAGATAGAATATATGAGTAGATAGATAGGTAGATAATCTAGAAAAATAGATAAGATGCAAAATATTTACATATGCACACACCACCACACAAACACACACACACACACACACAACCAATAGGTAGATAGATATAGATAGATATGTGTGTGTGTGTGTGTGTTTCTGCAAACGTACGTGAACATTTAAGAAACGTAATTAATAAAACGGCCTAGTTTATCAGTACCATGATGAACCGTTGGAGCGCACTTATTTTGCATTGCTTTTGTTTCCTTCTCAAAGATATTAATGTTTTCGCCATATAAGCCCACATGCAGTTTATAGTCATAGTTTGTTAACGAGGTCTTTCCCTTATTCATGATTACCGGAAATGACAGCTGATTTTAATAATGTTCTACGACGCGAGCTTCTGATTTCAACATGTGTCCTAAGGGCGAGCTCTGGATTTCTAACATGTCTAAGGCGAGCTTCTGATTTCAACATGTCTAAGGGCGAGCTCATTCTCGCGGACCAGACTTCAGGCGGGCATCAAGACCTGCCATTTCTTTTCCAACAGACTGTCGCTTTTCACCTCCTGCCTCATTAAACAACCCCGAATCTCCTCTGCTTTCACAGAACCATGCCCTGAAGAACCTGAAGTCTGCATCCACGCCGCTACTGTCTTCCGTCGTGTCGTCCCCCCTCACACGCGTACAAGTGGTCTGTAAATTGTCCTCCCCGCTGCTGTTGTTTTCTAATGGTCACCCAAGACATTCATTTCAACACTTCTCTCCTCACATCCCCCCCATTCTATCTGTTCCATTCAAC